GTATTGAAAAAAAAAAAAAAAAAACAACGATAAAGAAATCGTTATGCTCATTTTAAGGGAAAGTTTTTGTAATTTCAAACAACAAAAAGGTGATATACTTTTGCTAAAAATATGATTTTAGCTTAACAAATATTGTAATTTTTTTTTAAAATACATGTCTTAAATATTAATTGAGACCATAATATTTTAATTTTGATTGAATTTTATAATTTGGTATAGTTAATTTTGAAAAAAATGGTAAGATTAGTTGTCAGTGGAATTTTAAGTTTATAATAAAATAATATTTAAAATAAAATAATTAAAATTGATTTGATGTAAATTAAGAGAGAGATAATGTGAAGTAATAGTTAGTTAAAATTATATGAATGGATGAGTAGTGAATTAAAGTTGATGTAATGCGTAAGAATGATTGAGTAATATTATTTAATAATATTGATGATAGTGTCATAGTGAAATTAAGTTAAAGTTGAGTTAAATTTAAGTAAAAAAAAAATAATTGGTTAAAAATGATAATAAATTTTTCAACGACCATCACATCATACATTTATTATGACTTATTAATTAGATTTTATTCACTCCACTCATTTTTTTTCATATCTACCAAAGTTAGTTTTGTAATGGCTAACAAAGTCCCTCATAATTTAGTGGTTTTCATGCATGCCCCCACTCAATTATTGAAGCCTACCAAAATAAGTACGGGAAATGCTACCATCCCGTTACGGTACCATCCCGTCGGGTGTTTTAACCGTTGGATCATCGATCTTATCTAACTACACGTAGATCTAACGGTTAAAACAACCGACGGGATGGTACCGTAACAGGACCGTAGTATCTCCCAATAAGTACACATGCCTTAACAAACCATAACAATTACACTATATAAATATGTGTGTAGTACTGTAATATGACTCACATGTACATAAGAAACAGAGATTTAAAAAAAAATATATATATAATAAAAAAAATAATATTTTGTTTATTAACTTTGAAGATGGTCTCTTTTATAGCTCTGTTGAGTTTGATTTTGAACATCTTTGCTAATGTGTGCCTTGGAGGGATCACAAGTAGTTTCGTGAGGAAATTCGATGAGAGCGAGGATATGCCTCTCGACAGCGATGTCTTTCGTGCGCCTCCTGGCTATAATGCGCCGCAACAGGTCTGTTAATTTAGACTGATTTAGTTCTCTTCCCATTTGTCAATTAATTTTTATTGTGATACTTATTCTTACTTTAAATTCGGTTTTGCTATAAAGTCAACAGTTGACTCCATAGTGGAGCCATCCTTCTATATACAACAAATAAATCTAACATACTAATAAAATTATATTAATGTTAGAGTAATCATAGAACAATATGGTAGGTTTACTTGTTTTATATAGAAGGTTGGCTTCACTATAGAGCCAACCGTTAACTCCATAGCAAAACCGGCTTTAAACCATTCTTCTTCTTTTTTTTTTTTTTTTGCTAATGTGCTGATTATTGTTGTTTTTGAATAATTTTGAAATAGCACGAGAAGCATATATTCTTCAGTAGTCAGTATAATAAATTATACGAAAATTTGATTATAATTGTTGTTAAAATGAGTACGCTTGCCACTTGAACTTGTATATATCTTTATTTTATAAAGGTGATCTTTTCAATATTAAGGGCGTGATTAGATACAAATGTATAGGCTCATAACGAGTTTTTTTTGTTAATTAAGGTTAATTTTTAATAACGTTGCATGATTAATTGTTAGTGAGATTTTGAGTTTATAATAAAATAGTATTTAAATTTATTTAATTAAAATTGATTTGTGTAAAAGTAGAATAGATGATATATGAAGTGATGGTTAGTTAAAATTATGTGAATGGACGAATAGTGAAAATTTGATGTGCTGTGTAAGAATGATTAATTAATATATTTAATTATTGATAATATTGAGGATAATGATGTTGAGTTAAAGTTGAAGTAAATTTTGAGTATGAATTGAGTTATTTTATTATTATTTACAAGCACACCCTAAGTTTTTATTTCACAATTTAGCCATTTTTTCTCATAAAGTGAGAAATTGTGCGAATGAACTGTATAACTGTTGCATATCAATTGTATAATTGTCGCATATTGATCGCACAATGCTTTCACATTTTCTTTGGTGAAAAAGCTAACTTAACAAAACTTGATGCATTTTTCATAGTTGGGTGAAAAAGTTAATTTCACTTTATTTTGTGAGAATTTAGTATTTGTGTTCTTGTTAAGGTTCACATAATGCAAGGAGACCATGTCGGAAAAGCCGTGATTGTGTCCTGGGTGACAATGTCCGAACCGGGGTCGAACACTGTCTTATATTGGCCCGAGCCGGACCCCAAGCACAAGTTTAAGGCTGAGGGTACCCTCACCAAGTACAAATTCTACAACTACACATCTGGCTACATCCATCACTGCACAATATATAACTTGCAGGTCAAAATTACATGTCTGTCTTTAGTGGTCCAACCGTTAGACGGATTGACTCATCATACTTTTTTTTTTAACAAAAATGCATACTTATACTATGAAGTATCATACTTTTGTTTGTTTACGTTTTATTTTAAAGTGTGACATTTCAATTTGAAAAAATGTTTATATGTTGAAAGAAAATATTACTGCCTAATACCTAAATGAAACAAGCTGATGGTGAGCTCGGATCGGCATGTTTTCTTGTTAAGGCTTGAAAAGAAGAATCTATTTGGTTCATTAATTTTGATCTCGT